ATGCTATAGTGATTGGCAAGCAGTGATTTAATTAATACAGTTTCTGTGTGGTTATTTAGGAGTCTGGGCGACCCGGAAATGAACAAGCAGCTTCCTACAACACATAAGTACTGTGGAAGTGACTAAGTGACAACAGAAAGTCTGAAGGACCAAGCTTACCTGTAGTATAAGCTTTGTGTCCTGGGGAACAACTGTGACGATCCGGGAACCCCTCTCCACTCTCCGCAGACTTTCTTCGTTGGCCTCATTACTGCCGCACAGACCAGTCTGTAACACTAAAAACATCACTGATTGAGACCACAGCAAGCCACACTCCATTAACTGCCGCTGAATCTGCCCCGTACTTGAAACTCAGCTAACGTCAAGTCCCTTTGCTCTCCCACTCAGCTTCAAGACCCCTGGGCCTTCCTGTAATCTCCCTGCTGCAAAGGACCCTCACATACTCACATACACAGTTTCCTAAGCAACTGGGAAATACAGGAACTGAAGCAGCATTTCTATTTCTTAGCATGACCTTCACACTATAGTTATACCAATGGCAGAAAGAGTTCCTGTTTCCAAGTCAGCAACAAGAAAAATAAGGTGGCCTTTCGGAATAAGGAACATTCTCTTTCAGAGCACAGTTCCTAATGCCCACACTAGGCAACTCACGACTGACCATAATTCCAGTTTCCGGAGCATTCAATGCCTCTGGTCTCCATGGACACCCATGTGGCCACATGCACATTCACACACAAAGGCACAGGTATGCACATTTGCACACACACCAACACAATGTAAAAAATATATATACTGCATCAAAGAAGATAATAAATGAGACCAGGACTCTGTGGTAAACAGCCAAAGTAGATAAAGAATTTAAAAATCATCAAGACTTCAAGACACTGGAAAAGGGGGATACCCCCATTTTGTAGAGAAAAAAGCTTACTTTTAAGTGAAGCACATCTCAGGGAAAAACAGTGGCAGGTATGGGAATGGGTTGTCAACAGTAAAAACTCATCACACACTGCAAATGACGTGATATTTGATGCAACCTGCAACAAGCAAAATAAGCCCAAGGGAAGTTAGAGTTTGTACTTGGAAAGAAAAATGTGAGAAAGACCAACCCAAACCAAGCCTAGATACCTCAGTGTCATTGATGAAAAAGCGACACCTGTCAGTCAGACCAAGGACACACTCCTGCAAAGAAACAAAAGTGAAATTACACGCAACCCTATTCACAAGCACTTACACCTGTGGTCTTCACCATACAGTTCCAGTGCTCTGCAATGCCGAGCCTCTCATCAGGACTGGATGTCGGCAGCTAAGACAAGACTAGTGCCATGCTCAGGGACATGCCACCACCCGATCGAGCAAGCCACTCTATCGACTCCACTCATTTTGAATGGATCTCATTCCTCTCTTTGACTGCACACCCAAAAGTCTATGCTGACCTCCCCTCTTATTTCCATCCCTTTCCAACCTTCTCCTCTGGGCAGCCAGAACCACATATCCAACTTGACGGAAAACACATCTCTCTGATGACTAAAAAACACCAACAGCTGTATCCTTTCAGGCGAGAGTAAAGGAGTTCACTGCTAACTATTTATCAGATTAAAAGCAAAAAGTAGTGTTTATTTCTCTTCATGCCCAACATTTCTGTTCATCTACGTCAAGTGAAGAGTCTTGCTGAGCGGTGACTTATACTCCTGGCAGGGACAAAACTGTCCCCTATGCTCTGTGCCAACTCAAGTGGGAAGAACAGCACAGCTCGCACCTCAAGGCAGGGGCCTGACCAGGATGCACAACAGGAAGGGGCTGTGGTCTGCAGCATCTGCTGTGTACTGCCGTGTACCCTGTCATCTTTCTAAACTCAGGTAATTCCAGAACCTTCTCCTGGGATTACTTTCCTTTCTAGGAAGAGTGTTCTCTATGTCTCAGCACACTCACCACTGCCTCAGAGACTTTAACTATCATCCTCTAGTTATCCCCAAACACCTCACTGTTTGCTACCATCATACTTTGCTCCTTGCCTTCACTCTCCTATTTGTATCAAAAGATGGTGGTTTAAATGACCATGGCACTCATAGGCTCATGTATCTGAATAGTTGATTCCCAGTGCTGTAATTATTTGGAAAGGACTGGGAAGTGTGGCCTTGTTGGAAAAGGTGGGCTACTAAGGGCAAGCTTTGAGGTTTCTCTTAATTTTCTCCAGAATTTTACAAGACTGACTTTCCCCTTTTCTAGATGAAGAAGGTGGGGGCCAAGAGGGAGCAGGAATCTCCTGTCACAACCCAGGGATTTGGTGGTGACACAGGTCCAGCTGCAAGACCCATTCTTTTCCACCCACTGCCCTTGGCACTGACTGTTCCCATGGTGAACTTCCCTGCGCTGTGTTGATTTACCTGTCCTCCAATCACGGCCACTTCCACCTGTGTGCAAGGGTGAGCAAATCGAACAGGAAATCCTTCAGCATTCTTCCAGGGTTCCACAGTCAGAGACGGTGAGTCTGTGGTAAGATTGGCAAATTTAGTTTACAAATAGCTCACCAGCTCTTTCCTGTGAGGCACTGAAAGGACAAAATAAACAACGTCCCTATCTCACCCCCCAAAAGAAGCCAACACAAAAAAACAGAAATCTGGACTTCTGACAGATAGAGCATCATTAGGCTATTTCAAACAGGAGCAGACTGGATCTGTCAGCACTGCTCTACAGCATGGTATCCTGGGCTAGGAGGCCTAGCCATTGAGCTGAGGTGTAACTCAGTAAAACAGTGCTTGCCAAGGGTGCATGAAGCCCTGGGCTGGAATCCAGCAAGGCAAACAAGCAAAAAAACAACAAACAACCAAATGAAGTATTCAGATTCATAAAGACAAGCACTGCACGCTTCTCTTATACAAAGACACTAGACTTAATTTTGTTACGCGTATGGAGTGTAGATATAGGCCATGACACTACGGAGGCGGTCAAGAGGTGGGAAGAACAGGCCCTGGGGGTGGGGGCAAATAAAAAAAGAGGGCAACAGAATGCAAGTGACAAACATGCAGAAGGGAGTTAGGGGACCTCCAGGATTGGGGGAGAGAGAGAAATGGGAAGGGCAATCAACAAAAACAACGCATGGAAATGTCATAATGAAAACTTTCACTTTGTATGCTAAAAACAATAATAACAACTAAAAAAGATTAGGAATAATCAATAAATAAAAAATAAAAATAAATAAAACAATAAATAATTAAGTAGCACTGACAAGATACTCACAAGTACACAGTCTTAAGAATTATTTATTTGTAAATCTGCTTTCCTAAAACTCCAATACTCACCCCAAAAGCACCTGAGTAGCTGGCCATCAGCCAGCTGGACCACTGATGACTTGGTTTTGGAACTGCAACATAAACTAATGATGACCCCATCCACGGTCACAGATGAACTAAAGCAAAACACACATACATAGAAAGAAAAAAAAAAAACAGGAGATAAGTATAAAAGAGATAATCTTTCTTAAAAATAGATTCACTGATTTTCCCACAGTGAAAACAATGATACTTCAGAATACACTGCCTATGCTGATGCAACACATATTCTTTACACACAGAGTGGAAGCTCACAGATGGAGAGGGATTACCTGTTTCCAGAGTCAGGAAGCTAGCTGTCTACCCTGAAGGAACAGCATCCTACTCACGTGGCAGCTCATTATAATGTACTGCAGTGTATTGATTTCCTTACATATTCTTTGTTGGTGTGTGTGTTTGTTGTTTTTGAGACAGGGTCTCACTATGTAGTTCTGACTATCTTGGAACTTACTGTGTTGACCAGGCTGGCCTTGAACTCAGAGATCTGTTTGCCTCTGCCTCTCAAGTGCTGAGATTAAAAGCATGTGCCACAATACCCACCTTCCTTAAATATTCTTAATAAATAAACTGCATCAGGTAGGTTTGGTGAGATCAGCCTGCAATCTTACAGCTACTTAGGGAGACTGTAAGTTCCAGAAAAGTCTAGGCTACAGTCTGAATTCAATGTCAGCCAGGGCTATTTATTGAAACACTGTCTCAAAAATAAGTAAAAGGAACACTGAGTGGGGCTGGAGAGACGGCACAGCGATTTAAAGCACTGGCTGCTCTTAAAAAGACCCAAGTTCAGTCCCCAGTACCCACAAGAGCGCTCACAACTCCTCATAACTCCAGCTCCAGGAGATCTGATGCTCTCTTCTGGCTTCCATGGCACTGCATGTACATCATGCACAGACCCATAAACATAAAGAAAATAAGAAGGTTGAGGATATGTGCTTCCCCCAGCATATTCAGGGTCCCAGGTCCAACCCTCAATACCCCTAAATACATAAATAAATGATGGAGAAAAGTACAATTTCTTAAAGGAGAAGGCACCTACAGAAACAAAACCAATGCTAGGATTCCATTCAGGAAGCTTATTTTTAACCAACTTAAAAAAAAAAAAAAGGAAGGAAGGAAGAAAAAAAAAAAAAACAAAGACAGAGAAGTAAACTCTAAAAACTCGGTTAATTTCTCCAACAATACCTCAAAGTTAATGAGGGACAAACTACCTTCCAGAGAGTCTGGGAAGACTGAGCTGGACAATGGGACTGGATCTGGCTCCTGCTTGACCAGACCAGTCAGCTGATTCTTTAGACCTCAGTGGCAAGACCACAATACATAGTGCTGAGGGCACATATGTCAAAGAGGTGTAAAGAGAATAAATGAATTCATATGGGTAACACACACAGAAGAGCTTACAGTGCATAGCCACAGTAAATGCAGGCTGCCAACACTTAAGACTGAGAGCCATTTCATCTCTTAGAGACATTAGTATTTTATATGAACAAAAAAGTAGTCTTCTGAGAAACAAAAATTAAAACATCAGAACTACAAATGACTTTTTTTACTTAGAACATTAATGTTGAAGACAGTGGAAACTACGCAGTGTAGACATTTCTAATCCACTGCTGTGCTGTCAGAAAGCAGGGTTCTGCGGAACTCAGGCAGCACGGATCTAATGTAGAACACAGCCAACAGAGATCTTCACAGCAGGCTTCTTCCACAGCGTGAAGCTGTGAGCTAACATCACCATGGTAACAGGTAGGGCTTTGGTTACAAAGGAATGAGCACAAAGCAGCCAGTCTTCCACTAGAAACCTGAAGCATTCTGGGAGCTAGCCAGAAATTTTCTCTACCATCCCCCAGGACTTGAATGACAGAAATCTCTTCGGTTGTCAACAATGTTACATGACACAGGTAAAGTCATGAGTCAAACACGCTCAGGCCCGGGGATGGGGAACCGGCAAAGAAAGAGGCTTTCTAGTGTAAACAAACCCACACAGAGAAAAGGGGGGCCAAGTCTGATGCTACTACTTAAAAGCAGACGTAGATTCTATACTACATTGGCCCATGAGAATTGACCACAGTAATTATCTATTAAAAACAACAGTAAACTCTAATGTTTACTTTGTGAAATCTCAGTGGATAACTAAATAAAATACACAACTTACAAATATTCTGTATATTTGATAGGCTCCATTTTACTATTTCTTGACACAATTTTGATCTATTGTCTAACAAGGAAGCCTTGCCCTGTGTAACTTCACGGCCAATTTTACATACTGAATACATGAATGAACCATGTACCTGACAATCAGCTGTCCCTGCTCCTCATCCACCTCAGAAGGGGCCACAGTCAGACGGCAAACGGCAGACTGCAGGCTGGTATGACTGTGGCTTACGGCCAGGAAAACGGCTTCTTCAATCCAGGTGAGAAGGCTCAGCTGCAGCGGGTTTACCTCCTCATCTTCACCGTTCCCAAGCTGAATTCTGTTTCAAATATTAAAGAATGTCCAAGATGAGAACAAAGCTTTAAATCACTGAACTTTAAAAACATTTCCTTATAAAGGGAAACTACAGTCAACTCATCATTTGGAGAAACAGAACTTGCGCTACAGCCCTGAATAAAACACCTGCACCAACCACCAGGCTTAACGTCCTAAGACTCCAGGGGCTGTGGAGAGGGGACGGAAAGAATGGAGCAGGAGGCTGTGGAACGTTGTCCTCTGGACATGACGAGGCTACCGCAATCACACATTCACAGCAGCAGCAGGGACCTGCAGAGGCCATTGAACTGTAGCATAGATGGTATGGACGACTCCAGGCCCCAACCTTCCTAGGGATCCACTGGCAGTTGATAGTGGCTGCAGCAGTTGCTCATTTTTGAGGATGTGGCACTGGGTAGGAGCCCAGGTTTCAGTGAATGGCTCCACACTCATGCACATATGGGCAGCACTAGCAGGACTTAGTAAGTTATACAAAGAGGAGACATAAAGGTAGAAGGATTACGTTTGGGGAGGGGGAATGGCAATGCAGAGCTGGAGAGAAATGGGGGATAGATGTGATCATATTTCATTGGACACATGCATCAAAGTCTCAAGAATAAAGAAAAAAGCCTTATGTGAATACCAAATACCAGAACCCTCCAAAATAATGTCTGCCTGACTTAAGAATGTAGGATTTATTTTAAATCCACTTCCTCATATCCTAAGATCTTTACATTTGAAGAGTATTCTTTTGAAACTGGCTATGTAAGAAAATTCTCACCCTTGTGCCAAGGCTACTAAACCACAGGGCTCTCCCAAGATACCAATGGTCGGCACTCAATCCGGACACCAGCAGTTATCTGCCTCAGAAGATACAGGACCCTTTCCAGAGCACCTCACATCAAATCAACCAATAAACTGGGGACAGCTTTCTTGCTTCTAACACTTTCCTGATCTGGGCATCATTTTGCCACCTCACAAAGGAGAATTGCTGTCCTCTGGGTCCAGGGGCAAAGTCAGTAGTAGCTGCTGAGGAAGCTGGTCTGCTCCTCCTGTTCAGTCAGGTCTCCCTCTCCACTGTCTCCACTGCACACAGATCGCCCAGAGTCCTCACCACACAGGCCTTCCTGGCTCTGGTTCTCACCAGCTTCCTCCCAATTCTTTCCCAACCCAAAGCAGTTCTTCCCTAAGGATCAAAATGAAGACTCATGTCCTCCTATTTTCTCTGAATGAGGGACTTTCCTTCCTCTTGATTTCTAATATTCTAATATATTCTAACCCATAACTGTGTAAATAATAGGTCATAGCATCACATGGGGTCACATTACTGCATGTGAAGACAATAAAATTAATAGGGATGAATAAATAAACAGTAAAATTATATGCACACCACGGAACTGAGGCTGTTACTCTTACATGTGTCTATCTGTCCCATGTGTTCATGTGCAAGCTGGAGGACAACTTCAGGTGCCATCCCCAAGAATACCATTCACCCCAGGGTCTCTCACTAGCTCTGAGCTCTGTAAGCATCGCAGCTTGGGTAGAAAGGGATCCTGGCAGTCTAGGGCCAAGGAGTACCACAGGTTACCGTAAGCGTAGCAGCTCACTGCCCTGCTCCAGGGAGAGGTTCCCAATGTAACAGCTCTGCTCCCACAGGCGAGGGTTTTCCCAGGGAAGCCGTTACAGTTCTGCTCTGGTCCCCCAGAGTGTATTAACTCTGCCCCACTAGGGGAAGGTTTCCCCAGTGACAGTCTTACAGCCCTGCTCTGCTCTTCTCTGGCTCCTGAGGAAAGTTGTTACTTCTCTCCTCCATTCCGGTGAAAGAAGATCTCACCCAAACCTCATTCAAGAGATTTATTGGGAGGGAAGAAGCCAGCGAGTGGCTGCCTCTGCCAGAATGGAAGAGGGCAGCAGAAAACTGAACAGGTATAGGGTTTCTTAGGGGTGGAGTTTTTCAACCAGGAAGATTGGGAATTGGTCAGATTTCAGTACCTTGAGCTCAGGTTGGCTAGATTTTGTGTTCAGGAATTGGTTGGTTTTCTGCTCAGGAATTGGTTCATTTCTCTGCACAGGGATTGATTGGTTTTTCTCCTTAGTTGATCAGGGGCATATTTGGGTCTGGTTTCAGGGCCAAAGTGTTTCTTTCACTGCCCTTTTTAGCCTTTGGCTTTAATTTCAAGGCCAGGGCATATTTCTTTCCGATTCTGATTTGACTCTAATTCTAAGGTTAAAGTGTGTTTCTTTGGCTCTGGTTTCAGGGTCAGGGTACATTTCTTTGGCTCTGGTTAAAGGGCCAAAATGGGTTTCTTTGGCTTGCCCCTTTTCCCTACATGCTCACCAATTAGGAGAGATCACTCAGCCAGTGAGTCCAAGGATTCTCTTGTCTTCCCACCTCCCCAGAACTGAGATTACATGCACACACCAAGCCTGGCCTTCTTCATGCAGTTTCTGGGGACCAAACTCAGGTCCTCATGCTTGCAAGCCAAGCACTTTGCTGGCTGAGATATCTCCCCAGTCCCAATATGATTATCAGTAAATGTTTGATTTGTATACTATTTTACCTATCTATATACCCTTGGTCACATAAAACTTAGTAGAAAAGGAGTCATAAACTGAAGAAGTTAAGAAGCCCTTTCTCAACTGCCTCACTCTTAATCCGAATTGTATCTCTGTCTAGCGGTTTCATAATACATGTTAAGATTTGGATCTAGAACTGGGCAGTGGTGGCATAAGCCTTTAATCCCAGCACTTGAGAAACAGAGGCAGGCGGATAGTCAGAGCTGTTACACACAGAAACCCTGTCTCCAAACCAAAACCAAACAAAAATTGGTCTGGAATTCTCCCCGCAAGGCCTATACGTTAACGCTTGGACTCTAACCTCTGCACCACTACAAAGAACAGAATGCTAAGGAGGTGGAAGCTAGTAGAAGTTTTAGATCACTCTAAGAGGTGTGGGAGTCCAGTTCTCTACCCACAGCTGCCATGAGGGGAGTGGGTCTCTGCCATCACCTGCTACGAACATGAAGCCTGAGCCAAAGCAATGGGGCCGAGAGGCTGTTAGAGCCCCAAACACCAGGAGTCAAGCTAAACCTTTGCATTGTAAACTGCCAGATCTCAGGGATTCACTGCGGTAACTGAAGCTGCCTAGCAGAGCACACAACGGAGGAATACAATCTCACCAGCATTCCATATGCAGGCACCACAGCATAGACTTCCTTGAAAACTATGGACATATTAGATACATGACTCATACCTAAAAATCCATTTCTAGATTCTCTTACTTGCTGTACTTGTTTCTATTAATTTTGTACTGGGTGTACCTAGTAATTAAGAACAGAAACATTCCAAACTGAATAGAATCAAACTCTGGCTCCTGCAGTTAGCAGGTCCATGATCCCAGATGAGCTGTTAGCTATTCTCCAATTCTGTTCTCTTATTTGTTGGTGCTCTGTAGCGGGGACTTAGGATTTGGCTTCCATGCTCTTCTGTAAATGCCTCCAGTGGGCCTGAGGTCCTTAATTATACCAAACCATTCGTACTGCTGCATCAACAGGAAAGTGCACTCTGATTTCAACCTGAGAGTCTAAAATTACAACACCCAGAAATTCTGTAATCTGGAATAAGACCAAGATAGAGGCTGAATTGGGTCATTCACAACTAGCACCATGTATATCCGCATTTACGTGAGTGAGTGCAACTGCGTCCTGGTGTCTTTCCCACGGGAGTCTCCCTAGGCAGCTGTGGGAACATAGAGCACCAGGAGACTAAGTGACCGCCTCCCTTACCAGGCTCAGCTAGTGACCGTCTTCACATTTCCCAGTCACAGGATGGATGAACTCAGGAGAAAAGGCTACTTGATCCTACTCCCAGGGACACAAAAATACTTAAGAACCTACCTGTATCTCTTTTCCAGTTGAGGAGTGCTAAGAGGAACTTTAAATCCACTTCCACCCACAGCTCCCAGCTTCACTGTGGGATCCAAGTCTGGGTTATCACCTAGGAAACAAAAATGCAAATATCACTGCAAGCTTGCTCTAACACCAAGAATGTAGGATCCTAAAACCTGTGGGTTCTAGAGGACCAATGAAGCAATCTAAAAAACAATGACATTACAACCTCATTCTTCAATCTCAACACACCTTTCCAGCTCAGGCTCCATCAAAACCTACTTTCCATTAATACTATCTCAGCCACAGCATTTACCAGCAGGGCCCCAACACTATCATCAATCTCCACTGTCCCCAGCCATCTCTCAGTAGTCTCACACCCTCCACAGTCCTCAGCATTCATAGACAGTCTTCCCACTGTTAACCTAGTTCACTGACACAGCACCCAAAACAATCCTCTAAAACCCTGCACCCTGTCACAAGCTCTCTAATGGCTCCTAGCTCATTCAGAGAAAAGGTTTTCAAGGCCCTGAAAGAGTTGTTCCCTGCCACCTCTAAGTCCCACCCACCACTCGCCCCTCAGCTGTCCTCCTTTGGTCACTGACCCAACTACTTGGAATGTTCTTGTCCACATGTGCCACTTCTCTCTCTGGTCCTCCCCAGGACTCTGCTCAAGGACTGCCTCACAGAGAAGCTGTCCTGGGGACACTGTCCCCCAACAGCCTACTACCTCCCTCCCCTCACTTTCTTCTGTGTCACTCTACGCTTAAAAGTGCTGCGCAGCACTTACCAGCTGACACGCTATAGCCCTGGCAATGAACGTGAGCATGACCTATTTAAAAGCCGCAACATCAGCACTGCACAGAGTGGAACTGAAACCAGGGAAGCTGGTGATCTGTCCAGAGAGGATTCCCATGAAAAGCAGGCTGCTTGTTTAAGAACTGATGTGAAGGCAGGAACTCCACTGTGAACTGACTAGGTCTGATTACTCTCTCAGACACTTCGAGGCTTGTCCTCACTGAAACTCCAAAGCTACATCTGTCAGGGCACAATCACAGACCCTCAGAAATAACACCAAATGTTAAGTCTTTCAAGACATAGACATATGAGCACTGCCTCTGTATGGTCACACGTACACACCTCTATAAAGCAGGCAAGGGCTCTGACTGCTCCTAGGAGAGTCCTAAGATTGTGTGTGATTGTGTACAAAGGAAGGAGAAGGCAGGGAAATCTGTGAAACAGGACAATGTTGCACTATTTCCAGAGTTGA